GTGAATTGCTTGAGGACAAGCATTTGGCTAGCTTGGGGGATTTGATAAGTGGTTTATTTGACCACTTATTGTGTAAATTTAAACTCGATTTTGCGATCATTTCCCCTCTTTCTAACCCAATTTTGAATGAAAATGTTTTGTCTCGGCTTTCCCCCTCTTGGTTTGTGTTTGTCCATGTTTTGCAGGTCTATGGACTCAATTAGGCAGGCTTTCGGTGCATGAATCGTGTTTAAGACAAGAGGATTGAAGATTGGAGAGGGCGCTCCAGGGGAGCGGGCGTGCACCTCTCATGGAGCGGGCGCTCCTCGACTCTAGCTACATTCTGCCCAAGTTCAGGTGTTGTTAGGAGCGGGCGTGCTCCTCACCAAGAGCGGGCGCTACTCCCTTTGAAGTTGAATCTGCCCATGCTGCTGGAACAAGGGAGCGGGCGTGCATCATGTGAGGAGCGGGCGCTCCTCCCTGACACTTTCAAATCTGATCCATCATTGAAGCATTCTGGAGAGGGCGTGCAGCCGAAAGGAGCGGGCGCTCCTAGCTTAGGAGCGGGTGCTCCTCATTGTGGAGCAGGCGCTCCTCGCTGGGAATCCGTTTTCTTTTGACGGTTTTCCCTATGTGTTTCGGGGAGTATAAATACTTCCCCTTTAGCTCATTTCGAAAGAGAGTACAGTAGCCTAGTTTTCAGAAACCTCTCTTAGTTTGAAACTTTCCTTAGGATTAATTTAGCTTAGTTTTCATCAAATCAAATCATTGTATTAGTGAAATTCAAGAATTACTCTCAAAGTTTGGCAATTTGTATTCAACATTTGAAGCTTCAATTAGTAATTTCTCCAACCTTTTTCCACTTAATTTCAGATTTTATTTGGTATTTGCATGTTATTTAAATCTTCTTAGTTCTTGGTAATTTGTTATTGGATGATAGTTATTTCAATTGTTAACTACTTTTCCCCAATTATTGAAGTATTTAGAACCCTAATTCTTGATTGCATGTTGATAAACATGACTTGTGAGTAGTCTTCTTGCTAGGGGTTGGGTGAAGCTCGACCTTTTGGGTTAACTATGCAAATGTGGGAGAAGCATTGATGTTTGTATTGCAATTAAATTGATTATATGAGATTGCTTGTTAGTTCCTCATGATAGGTTTAGCTACCCTTGACTTAGAAGCTTGATAGTATGATATGCCTAATTTGACATGGAAGTGTAAATTGAGTATGTCATTACTTATTGTAATTTGATTATGTATCATCTATTGCTAAACTAATGAGGAATCTAAGTTTAGTAGTGTGAGTTGTTTTCTAATTGCATGAGGTTGATTTTACACATAGTCCTTGCTATATCTTGTCTATTTTACTCCCCGTTTGCCTAATTGCCTTGGTTGAGTGGATCTCATTCCCTAGTATCTTTAATTCATTGATTTAGAACCATAGTTGTTTGTCTTCTTGACGAACCCCAATTCACCAATTGACTTCTAATTAGCTTAAGTGTAAAGATCTTTGGCAACCATATCCCGTTCCTTGTGGACCGAACTCTTACTTGTCATTATGCTTGGTTTGTAAGGTGTTTGTTAATAAATGTGTTTGATTGAGTGTGGAATGTACGACCGTTCTAACGCCCATCATAACCAAAAGTTGTATAGAACTCTATAGAAAGCTATGCTTCTAGGACCCTCCATTTGAGGAGGTTAGAATCTTCTAGAGTAGAACACTCTAGTCGTTTGGGAGCCTTATAAATAGGGACCTTCCCCTTTATTTTTGGATCATCCAAGCATTTGTAAACAATCAAATCTCTTAACTTACTCTCTTGCTTTCATTTTACTTAATATCTCACTTACTTAAGCTTTTGTTGCCACCTTTGCTAGAAGCAATACTCGGGGTTAAGCCTTGACTAGCAGCCTTAGGGAAGGAAGTTAGTGGGCGCGCGTGCACAAGGCTAGGGGGATTAGTCAGCACATGACATTGTGCATTCTTGAGCCTGGTTGCTTGGTTCAATTGCTGATGATCAACGAATGTCGGTTTGGGAGTAGTAGTATTAGTTTTAGTGGGAGTAGTAGTTTGAATGACTTCCTCTAAAACTCCTCTTCATTGTTTTATAAAAATGATAGTAGTACGTAGGTTCGTGGCTAGCAAATTTTCTTAGATTAGCTTTTAGATTAGGTACTCGTAGTTTTTAGCTTTATTATTTTGTTTTCTTTTAGTTTAGCTTTTACGTAATTTAGATTAGTTTTTGGTAGCTTAGATTAGTTTTCATTCTTTTAATTAGTTTAGATTTTGTTTTATATGAACGACATCTTCTTGGTTTTTATTTTTATTATTGGTTTCTTATTAGTTATTATTATTGTTTTTATTTCATGTTTTTAATTGCTTTGATTGGTTTAGTTTTAAATATGTGCTACTAGTTTATTTTTAGGGTTTATGGGGAACCATAAATAATATGAAGGGATGGTTTATTATTGTTGATTGTTAATGGTTTAGATTAATTTCATATTGATTGATCAAATGATATGTGATTAGATTAGCGCTGGTTTAATTACATGAGTTATGAAATATTGATTTGAGATTCGACAGATGAGAATTGATGTTAAGGCTTAGTTTCAATAGGCATGTTAATTTATAAATGGTTAAGTAAGATTCGAGAGATGCGACTTAATGCCGCTAGATTAATTCTGTGATTGTAATACGTAGCAAAAGCCCTTTATAATCTGGTAAATTTATAGTTTATGCATTGATAATTGATTGTTGTCTTTCATCCCGAAAAGTTATTTAATGGTGAACCTACGCCCCAGGCTTTATTTTATTGATATTCTCTTAGTTTTAATTGCTTAGTTTAATTATTTCCCTTAAATTAATTAATATAAAATCCTATTTGTTACTTGATAATATAGATTATAATAATTTATTAGGAATAAAAGAACATTGTTTTCCTGTGTATTCGACCCTACTTCCCTATCTATTTTATTTAGTGGTTTTAGGAATTACTTTTGATTAGGTGATACGACTTTAGCCTTTCAAAATTTGGCGCCGTTGCCGGGTGTAGACATCTACTTTTGGTCCCCTATCCTGACTAGAAATGCTATGACGATAAATAATTCCATCTTTTGTGCTAGATTGAAGTGAGGAATGCTTATGGACCATTGATTAAGGCTTAACCACATAAAACAACTAGCTTGACCCAAAATGAAATGAACCAAAGCTTGTTAATACTAAGCCTGATCAACAATTAGGCCTAATCTCGAGATTAAACCTAGTTTGACGAATTTAGAAGCACCTAGGTTAAAACTTAGAGTTGTTGTAGGAAAAACTGTGCGCAACTCAAGGAGTCGCGCTGGCCTAGCGCGTGCAACTCACAAGGTACTTAAGGAATTGACTTTAAAATGGGATCAAGATGAGCTACAAGGAAGAAACAAAGCATCCCGGCGCGCCTTCGGAGAGGGCACGCAACAATCAGGCTTGTCGCGGGTGCTCCGCTTTCCGTCGCGGGCGCTCTAGCCTTTTGTACATTTTTACCAAAAACGAGGCAAGAACTAGCCGCGGGCGTGGCAATATTGGAGAGGGCGTGCAGTTTTGGAGAGACCGCGCACCCCTAGGTCAGCTTGGGAGCAGGGAATCTAACGCGCCCTCACTACGGGCACGGCCTCAAACGCTGCAACCGCGACACTTGCCCAAATAGCCCGCGGAGTTTGTTAGCTTTCCGTACCCATATTTCCGCGGGCGCTCAGCTATCTCGAGAGGGCGCGCACGACTTATTTTTCTTATTTGCTTATATATACTCTTGTAATTCCCTTTTATGAACCAACTTTTAATAATTCATTAGCTTAATTTTTAGAGAGAGAATTTAGAGAGAAACTAGAGAGAGAAGTTGTAAACTCAATCATTTGATCTGTAATTCAATCCATTTCAAGTTTGATTCTCTTTTGATCTTCAATTTTGTAAGAATTCCTTTCTTCTTGCCTTTAGTCATTTCCTTTAATTCTTGTTGTTGATGAAATTTCAATTTAATTTTGTTTGTTTGAACTTGTTTAGCTTGATTGATTAGAGTTTTGATTTGATTTACAACTATGAATATGATGATGATTAGTTTAGTATTGTTCTTCAATTTCAACATGCTTAGTGTGTAGATTCTTTGCTAGGGTGAAGGGGAAGCATGCATGAATGATGGATGATTTCTAATTTGGGGATTTTGATTGATTGAATGTTGTAATTAAATTGATTAGTAGATTTGTCCATATGTTTGGCTTCATAGGAGTGATCAACCTTGATTTCTAAGCAAGATTACGTACATTGTACTTCCTAATGACATGAACACTTTGGGGATTGCATTTATTGATTGATTTTGAATTGTGATTCTCTTTGTTAGTCACTCATAGAGGAAACCTAGTTTGACTTCTAGGAGATAACCTTTTTGACTCTTTCAATTGCAATTGCTACTAGTCCTTACACTATTTCAATTAATTTGATTTCCCTTGATTGGCATTTCTATCTTGATTGCATGTGGATTCTAATCCCTATTGTTTTTGATATTAAATTTCTATATTGTTTAGTTCCTTGAGACTATAGCTATACACTTCTACACTCTTTTCGAAGCAGCTTAACACATAGACTATAGTATTTGACCCTTCATTCCTCGTGGATCGACATGGACTTGCCCCTATACTAGGAGAAGGTTTGGTTATAAATTTTTTGACTTGGGAAGGCTAGACTATGTTTCAAAATAGGTTCAAGCAATTTCCTCCCCAACTAATGACAACAAGATTGTTTTAAAGCTATTCAAGAAGATCATCTTCCCAAGGTTTGGAGTTCCAAGAGCGGTGATTAGTGACAATGGGTCACACTTTGTGCATCACGCTTTGCAAAAGATGTTGAGGAAGCATGGGATACATCAACGATTTGGCCTTCCTTATCATCCAGAAACTAATTGATTAGTTGAGGTACCTAATCGTCAAATCAAGTTAATTCTTGAAAAGACGGTTGCAAAGAATAGAAAGGATTGGTCAGAGAAGTTGGATGATGCTCTTTGGGCCTGTCAAACGGCTTTCAAGACCCCCTATAGGCACTACTCTATATCGCCTTGTCTATGGAAAATCATGCCATTTTTCGGTGGAACTTGAGCAGCGTGCTCTTTGGACGATCAAGAAAATCAACTTTGATTTAGCAAGTGCGGGAGAGCAACGGTGGTTGGATCTTCATGAGCTAGAGGAGCTTAGGCTAGATGCATATGATTGTGCTAGCTCCTACAAGGCTCGTTCTAAGGAAGTGCATGATAAGCTTATTGAGAAAAAAGAGTTTTGTGTTGGTGACAAGGTCCTCCTCTACAATTCCAAAATGAAGTTGTTCCCCGGAAAACTTATGTCTAGATGGAGTGGTCCATTCTTGGTTCAAAGTGTTCTCCCTAATGGTGTGGTGGAAATATCTTCGTTGGATTCCTCTTCCTTTTTCAAAGTCAATGCCCATAGGCTCAAACGATATTTTGATGGTGTTTTTGTTGGCCTCATTCACATGATGATCCTATACAACCCACCTTGATAGGTGGAGGACGTCGAGCTAACGACGTTAAACAGCAGCGCTTACGGGAGGCAACCCGGATTCTCATCTCTTTTCTCTTTTCTCTTTGCTCTTTTCTTTTCTTTCCTTTATTTTCTCTTATTTGCCTTTTTCTTTATTATTTTTCTTGTGTTGGTTTCATTGTAGGTTGATTCAAAGTACAAGTGAGCTCTTATGTTGAGGATTGAAGATGAATGTTAAAAGGAATTGAAGTGATTTGGTTAAATCAGGGGAGCGGCGTCTCCACACCATCGGAGCGGCCGCGAAATGTTTAACGCATGAAAGTGAAAAAAGGAGGCAAATTGTAGCCGCGGGTGCGGCTGAAAATGGAGCGGGCGCAGCAATTTTGGCACGGGCGCGACCACCAGTCAAGTCCAAAAGTGAAAAATCCAGGCAAGAAGTAGCCGCGGGCCGACCGCGAGCGCGGCGATATTGTAGCGGCCGCGGGACTTCTGGAGCGGTCGTGGTAGTTTTGCAGGAAAAAAATTTAGGAAATGAGGCAGGAACCCATCGTGGGTGCCCCACAGGCTGACCGCGAGCACGTCGAATCCGACCGCGGGTGCGGCGAGCTGGGTTGCGATTTTAAACCCGGTTCTTCTTTCTCTCTCCTCTTATTTCACTCATCTTATTCCTTATTTACTCCTCTTTCTCTCTCTTCCTCCTCTCACAAACCCTACCCCCTAATTCACAAACATTCATCATTTTCTTCAAATTTTCAATCATAAACTACCAAAATTAATCTATTTTCTCCATATTCAACTTCTTTACTTCAAATTTCTCGCAATTTTCCGTCGAAATTCATATTCATTGCACTTCTTGGGTTCCTTCAAGGGTGAGCATGAGATTGCTTTTGGGATTAATTTGAGGCTTCAACTTTGGTATAATCCTAATCTTTGTTTTATTTTCGTCAACTTCCATTGATTATTATGCATAGATTTTGATTCTTCATGGTTGTTTGATAATTTGATGATTGTGGATGGTATCCTTGTGATTTTGGATTATGACGTGTGTATGATTTGATTATTGATGTATTAATTGTTGCTATTGGATGTTGTTGTTTGGATTTTAGTTGGTGATTTGTTGCAACAGGTACTTTGTAGTTTTGGGTGGATGTTTGAAGGAGTGTTATGGGAGTATTGGTTGTAGTAGTATTGCTAATGGTGGTGCTAGGTGTTGTTCTTGGTGGTAGTATTGGTTGTTCTTGGGAGTTTTGATTTGTTTGTGCTTTGGCTAAGTGTTGTTCAAGGTGATAAAAATGAATGTGTTTAGAAAAAGGAAGAGTAGCAAGCATACTCCTAGCCAAACCGCTGACAAATTTTCTCAAGGCCAATCTTCTCAAGGCCAACCTTCTCAAGCTCAAGAAAATGCTCCACCTCCACCTCTTCACCCACTCAAATTCTTTAACCGCTCCAAACACAACCCCATATACAACAAAATGAAGGAGAGGTAATTTAGACCATCTCGCCATTACTTTCAACCCGACATGATCAAATTAGGGATTGATGATGATCTTAGGATCCTCTTCAATAATCTTCGCTTGGGTTCATTTGTTGATTCTTGTTATCGCACTTATCTTGAGCCCACCATCGAATTCTTCTCCACCTTTGAGTACAATGCGGTGGGGGACTATGACCACAAAATAACCTTCTAACTCTTCAATGTAAAACAAACCATGAACCTCCATGACTTCAATGTTGCCCTTGGATTCAATCCAAATGCCTACAACCTAGCTCCCCTCTATTCTAACCCGAATGGCTACAATGAGTTTGCTTGGTGGAGGGCTATTTCTAGGAAAGATGAATTTAACTCCAAATCCTCCATTGCAAGGGAAATTATTCATCCGACCCTTCGGATATTGCATAGGATCCTCGAGTATGCAATTTTTAATAAACAAGATCTTAGGAAGCTTACTAGGGAGGAGATCTTGTGTTTATAGATGGCCATGAATGAGGAGTATGGGCCAAGTGTGAATTTCAGGTATATATTCGTGGAGTGTTGTATATCCTTGATCAAGGGAAGGAAGACCGGGGAGATCCATTGTGGGGCCATGGTCACAAGGTTGGTAAAGTATTTTAATCAAGAGGACTTCCTAAGGTCTTACACTCTAATTGGTGGGAGTGAGGAGTTGTACTTGGATTTTGAATTACTCCATAACTTGGGTTTCACTATTGGTACCCAAAATCCGGATGTCTATTCATGGCTTGTGCGAAAGGAGCACTATTGTTTGCTCCCAAACCTGACTTCCACCTCAATCACTAGGGCGGCTAGGAATGTTTGGAAGATGCCCAAGGACAACGCTCGAGTAGAAGTTCTAATGGGAGAGGGTGATGAGGAAGATGGAGACGATGATGATGGTGAGGATGATGATGATGATGATGGTGGTGATGAGGAAAAACAACAACGACAACAACGACGACAACGACAACGGCAACCCCAACAACAGCAACAACAATTTCCTCAAGGTATGCATGATTATGAGCAACAATTTCGGAACATGAGCCTTGCAATGCAAGGTCTCTATGAGACACAACAAGGCATGTTCCTATAATAGCAAGCCCTTTATGAGGCAAGCATAAACCGGAGCGAAGTTACCCCCACGGTCAATCACTCATATTGGTCGCCACAACACTGTCCCGTACCGACTTGCGGGGGTGACAACAAGCCAACATATGCCAATTGGCAAGGTGACGCATATCCAAGGCATCAAAATCATCATTTTATTATTTATATTTATTTTTATTGAATCGTCTATTAATCATGAAGTTGAGTGGCGTCAATCCTAAAGTTACGCATGATTAATCGAATAAGAATTGGAGTAGAATTAGTAGATTGATAAGATATTATTTCTAATATTATTAGAAGATAAATTTTGTTATTTAGGATTACTATTTAGTATTTATATCTTATATATTTTATTTTATCTTTTAGTTATCCTAACGGCATGGGATGTTTGCCTATAAATTTTCTTTATTTTCATTATTGAAGGCAGAGAAGTTTTGAGTTATAATTGATCAATTCGTATGAATTGTTTTAGCAAGAGAATTGCATATGATATTTTGCTAAGAAAGCTACCAATATAGTTGTTATTTATTCTTGGTTAGATTAAATAGCTTCATATCCCCGAATTTCCTGAAGAGCCCATACAAATACGCATCAAATTGGTGTGGTTGTTGCTACTGCTGTTAGGCGAGGAAAATGGTGCACTTCTTGATGTTTCGTGCCAAAATATTGTTGAAATCGGGCCTAATAAAAATCAATTTTGTAGGTCAGATTGTTTGGCTTTGTTCTCGTTCATTTCCAAAGCTTTTGAGGTGATTCTTTTTTCAAATTAGTTAACTTTTTTCTAGGTTTTACTTGCAAAATTTGACAATATTTTCGAGGAGCATAGATATTAAACTGGATTCGTTTTTGGCAACTGGTAAAAAATCAAACTAATCTGGCAGTGTTGAGAAAAAAATAAACTACAACCATTTGGCTTTGATTTTTTTGCTGAATTTTTGGCCGAGTATTGTAGACATATATGGATAGCATCATACAAAATTTCAGAAGTTTTTGAGGTGATTTGATTTGGTTTTTATCCTCAAACTTTTAATCAATTTCTAGACTGGTTTTGTGTGTTTTCTTATTCAGTTAAACATGGTGAATCAAGCTGAACTCACGGCATTGTTGGATGAGCTCAAGAAAATTAATGCTCGATTGGATAAGTTGGAAGAAGTTACTGCGACACTCCAGCAAGAACTACATAACCGTGACTTAACTCCGCACATACGCAATCACACAGTTGACGAGATCAAACCTGACGATTTGCCCACTTTTGAAGGCGATGGAGACCTGAAAACTAATCTTGATTAGGAACGAAGGTCAGACCATCTCTTTAGGTAAAAGAACCTAGATGACACTAAGAGGTTCACTATGCTATCCTCAAACTGACCAAGTATGCATCTCTTTGGTTCGAATCCTTTCAAAACCAACGGGAACTAGATGGGAAAGCACTGTTGGGTTTCGTAGTGTCCAACGCTACGTGGAAGAGAAACCCACCCAAGACCCATTCACTAATTAAAGAAACTAAATATTTAATCACATAATTAACAACATAAAAGAGAGAAAGGGAAATGACATTCTTACCCTCGACGCGTGCTTCGCTCATATAGAGCTCGGACTTCAAAGCCTTAGCTCCGCAAGCGCGAGAGCCTCCGACGGAGTCCACCCTCGAGACCCAACCCGAACGGCCTCTACCCTGGAGGTTATCCGGGGCTAGACCAAGATAAGACTAGAGTATTACGAACTTAGAGGTTTTCTCACCTAAAGGGAGAAGCCTCATTGAGTTCAACTCAAGTGTCCCTTCCCAATCCCACATGATGGGTATTTATAGGGAAGGGAGCTCTTGAACTTCAATCTCCCATCCATGTAGGGAGAGTTGGTAAAATGCATTTTATCCAATTTATTTTTGATTCAAAAATCAAATTGAAATGCAAGTGAATCAACAAATGACAAGCGTCAAGAGGTGAGCAAAGGGTTAGATGAGGACCACAAGGGGAACCATTCTCCCCTTTCTCCCCAAGCAAACCCACACGCAGATGCCACTCACATGCATATCCAACCACACACACATGTGCTACACGCACACGTTGTGCTGGCATTGCTAGCTTTCACTAGCTAGCTGCTGCTTGCGCTATGCGTTACACAGCTCGCACAGCCCACAACATACGTGCATGATGGGCATTGACACAAGGCTTGGTTGGCTGCCAGCCCTGCTGTGCGGCACAGCCAGCACACGCACAGGCCAGCTTGTGTGCTGGACCTTGTGATGTACGGCATTGCTGCTCGCATGGCCTAGCATGCTTGCTAGGTCCTCGCTGCCGATAAGGCACCTGCTTCCACTCCTCTACTAGCCCAACCATGCGTGCTGGTGCTAGCTAGCATGCGATTAGGCGTAGTAGCCCCACTTGCATGCTCGCGCAGCAAGTCTAGCAAGTACATGCATGCTTGGCTTGCGGCATAGCCATGTATGCGGTTGCTTCCCTATGCTAGCCTAGCCTTCGCATGTCTAGGCCAATGCGAAGCTATGACTTATATTAAACTTGTCATTTGCTTGATTTCTCGTCTCGTCGAATTCTAAACTCGACTGACTTGCGGCGCTCTATTTCGACGCTCTAAGTTCGATATCCGACGTCTTTGTTCGTAATACTCTAACGACTCATTTAATCCTTTGGATTGATTCATCACCTCGGATCGGTTACTCGATTAGGTGTGACCCAAAGGGTTCAGTCAAGATTAAGCTGTAATATTAATTACACATCAATATTACTGATCGGAAGCGGCCTCCACCTAGGCATTCCAATCACTTGACCTCACTGAAGGATTAACTTTCTAATAATTTTGAACCCTCTATCGGAATAATACACTTGTTGGAAGGACACAATTCCTCTCAATCTCCCACTTGTCCATCCGGACAAGTGTGCAAATGGTGTATAACCCATTTCCTATGTCACTTAATGTCTCTTCATGAACTATAAGGTAAGATTCTTCGTCATCCTTACTATGTCTAGAAGTGTTTCTCGATTTGCATATGATTTCTTAAATCCATCTGAGCACGACCATGCATTTTCAGAGTCTCGCTCTTCTAGAGGCCTTGTAAACAACAAAGACATATACCCTATTGTTAATAGGGGGACATTCCCAGTCTTGCACAGTTAGCTTCCCTTACTAAGAGGACCTAGTCGCCCTAGTGTTGCCGTTATAATCCCCATTTACGGCAGAAGTTTGAGAACATCAAAACGGACTAGTACTTAAACAAGAGAACTTACAATACTCATGATCGAGGAAAAAGGTTCCGATAGCTAAAATGAGAAATATACTTATGACGACTTTTAATCTCTTAAAGTATTCTCATAGGTCGACCCAGTATAGTTCCAAACCAATACCTATGCAAATGATTTATGACAATCATGTCCTCGTAGCATAAGAAACGGTACTATAAATCATACTACACACTAATCTCAAGTGGTGATTACACTAGTAGAAATTTTGATATAAGCACCCCCCTTTAGCACCAGTTCTTGAAAACCGGTGCCAAAAGAAATGGGCGGGATTGGAAAATTCAAAGTTGGCACTGGTTCCAACCAAAATCGGTGCCAACTAATCTAATTTGCACCGGTTCAAACTAGTGCCAACCAAAAAAAAAACACAAAAAAAAATAAAAAACGAGGAAAGCAATAGAGTTGGCACTGGTTTGTCTTAAACCAGTGCCAACTACAGTAGTTAGCACCGGTTTGAACCGATGCCATTAAAAAAAACCGGGCTTCTCATATTTTTTCTTCTTCTTTTCTTTCCCCCTGATTTTTCAACTTGTTGTTTCCCTCGTTCTCACCTTCTCTTCCAGGCCACCACCTCCGAATTCCCACCTTCTCCATTGAAGCCGTTTTTTAGCTCTCGCACTCCATTGAAGCAGCTGCATGCACCTCCTTCTCTCTCCATATCTCTCCTCCATTGAACTCGTGCTCTCTATTCTCCATTGAAATGCATTATGAGTTTTCTCGCCTCCATTGAAGCAGCTTCGAGGTAAGATTTGGGCCATTGTGGTCTTCTTAATCTACCGAATTTCTTCGCAACCTAGGGTTTGTAGTTGATTTGGTTTTCAATTTTGTAATTTTAGGTATCTGGTTTTATTTCTATTTTTTGTCAAACAAAATAAGTAGGAGAAGGAGAGAGTAGGTCCTACACGCCGCCACTCACCCTTCGCCGGCCACCCTCCGTTCCCCTCAGCCGTCCTTCGTGCGTCGACTACCGACCACCAGGTAATTTTTCTGATATTTTTCCTTAACACTAGATATCTTATTCTAACTATTGATCGGATTTTAAGGGTTTATCAGTTATCACCTTCTTCATCTTCTTAATAACTTCAACCATTTTGTAATTAGGGTGGAATTTCTCTTTCTTCAACAAGATTTCACTGCAAAAAATGGAGTTTTGGGAATTATAAATCATGGGAAGAAGAAATTTACTGGAAGAATTATCATTTTGCTCATTTCTCTCTCATTTTACCCACTAATTTTCATCATCGTCTCGTAAGTATTCCTTATTTAATTAAATTATTGCATATTATTTATTTAATATTAAGAGTATTTATTTTATTCCATTGCTTTACTTTGATCTTGTAAAATAAACTACAATTAAATTGCCAATGTACTAGTATTTTTATTGCTGATTTTTCTTCATTTTGGTTTCACCATAGTTTATTATGATTATAAATGTGTTATTCCTATATTTTTCTCAAGGGTTTGTGAGTTGACTATGGTCAAGGTTTTTTTTTAAGGGTTTATCAGTTATCACTATGACAAGGATTTTTAATTAGATGCGTAAAAAAGTGACCCGACTCAACCTAAAAGTAATCCGATCAATATTTCGACATAAATGGACAAAATAACTCACAGGTTTTACATGATGTCAGGAACCCTCATGTTAATGCTCATAATGGCTACATCTCTTTTCTTGCATTGTAATTAAATGCATATTTTATTCCTACTGTAGGTTATGGGGAAAGGCATGTTGGTTATCATTTCCGATTCTGGAAAGCTCTCTTTTCTAACATTTTGTAATGAAATTCACAGGTTCTACTCTCATCTAGAGCCTTCCTCTATGAATTCTCCTCTGCTTTTTAATAGAAAAATTGGATGTATTTATAGTTTCTCGTTGTGTGAACTAATTATGGTTTAGTTGGTGACCTATATTTGTGCTTCCGCTGACTGATTAGGTTCTTTCTAGTGACTCATGTTCAACTTTCAATCCCTGGCAACTTAAGACACCAGATTGGTAGAATGCTTGTTGTTGATGCCTTGTAAGTATTTTCTTTGGAGTTATTGCAATGTAATTTTGTCACCTCTTCATAGCCATATTTGGAGACTATATCCAGGCCATCCTTTGCCCTGATTCAAATGTAGGGTGCCTCATCAATAATTAGATTCTTGTGTGTATTGATTTATTTTCGGTTGGCTACATAATTTTCACCCTTGTTTGTATTAATTTATTTAAGCGAACACCTCTTTTCATGCTATGTTTGAGAATAACATGGTTATTACTTTGCTGCGACTGGATTTTCTTAGGTATGACTTACAACACTCTGGAGTTTATGACATCATTGGAAAACATGAAGATTCAGCAACTTGCATTGAGTATTCTCCAGAAACAGGTGAGTAGTATTTGGTAGAGAAATTGATGTGATAAAAATTAGTTTAGGAGGAAAATGCTTTGTGGTATGGTTTTATGATAATTTAGGCGTTATGTGTTAAGTCAGTAGAACCAAAAAGTTTTCATAATTCCTGTCTTGGTTTGTAATTGTTAAATTTTGTACTTGTATGCTTTTATGTGGATTTAATGTTGAAATAGCTTAAATGAAAGGTTAGTTAATCAGAGTGTTATTTTCCCATTACTAAGGATCAGACACAGTAACAAGTGAAAATCATATTAATAAGCACATTTATGAGAGTTATCAATAATATCATAATCCACATTAAACCAGTGATACTAAAATTTAGTAATCTGAAGTCCCAAAACCAATTCGAAATGACAATGGTTTGACATAGCTAGATAAAACAACGAAAATTAAACAACAATGAGTAGTGATGGTCACTAATTTATAAATTGAGGGCAGTTTTAACATTCTTCTATCCTGGAAACATAGGATAGTTCTTTTAGCTTTGCGTTGTATTTTGGTCTTTTGGTCCAATTATTCATTTTGAGTTTTTTGGTGTTTTTTGTTTGAGTTTTTTGGTGTTTTTTGTTGTTTATGTTATTTCAGTATGTTTGGTTGAGCTATTTCTGTAGATACATTATGTGGAATATGGATGTTTTAGGTCTATTCCCTCTGCAGGCGCACAAGTTTTATGGTGTTCAGGATCCTCTGGCACAAGAGTGTTTTGAGGCTATTAAGTCTGCAAAAAGTCCTGAAGAAGCAGCCAGGATAGGAAGGAAAATGCAGAGACGAAGACCAGACCTGGTATGTTTCATTTTCTAGAGTTTAATGAAATCTTCAAAACTACTAGTCTGGCTCTATAATTGTGATGTTACTATGATTTTCTCTTGTGTCTAAATTGTAAAAGGAAATGTTTAATCTCATCCTGTCCATTTTGGAATGTCGGAATTGAAGATCATATTTTGAATCCTTCTTAGGGGACCACTGCCAGTAGAAGCTGAATTTTCAGGATTCAGACTTGGACAGTATCTTGAGCTGTCAGCAATCTAGCATAAATTCCCAATTTCTTTACAATTTGCTGTATTCGGTTTGTATGTATGCCTGGATAGTGAAATTCATACTCCGTATATGCAAGCTAGCCATTATAACCTCATAAGTAAATACAGTTGTGGAGTTCTTCAGTTGTGCTCCATCAATCAAGGTTTTCCTCTTTCTTCTATTTCAGTTGTTCTCTTTATTCTTGAGTTTGTGTGTTTGTTTAGTGTTATTAGTGTATTACACTTGCACAACACTTGGTCATACAGTCTCTGGACTAGAGTTCTAGATTATGAAATTTGACTGTTGAATTTTGTGTTGTCTTTTTAGGTTGCAGAATCACTTGGTCATACAGTCCTTGGATGGCGTCCTGTCCAAACTCATAATTCGGGACTTGGTAAGTCTACTCTGATGACTAAACCAGTGGTTGAACAGGTGTTTCTAACACTAACCCCTCGATCCAAAGCAGACCTTGAACAGCAGGGATTTTAACTGTTTTAGCTCCTGTTGCCCTGGGTTTTCTAATTTTGTTTTTTATCAATTGAAGTATGTTTTAGCTCCATTGATCTATTTGGTTATTGATTTTGTAGTATTGGATTTGAATGAAATGTGTCTTGTTTGTTTGTTTTTTTGTTTGAAATAATTTGATTCTATATGTTTTATGATATTGCATCTGGGTTTTTAATTTTGGAATATTTGAAGTGTATGCTGTTTATATAACAAAGAATGATTTTCTTGGGTGAAGGGTTTAATTGGGGTTTTAAGGTCAGGTTACTAATTTCTCTTTTATAAAAAAGAATGATGAACATGAGTGGCTTCCTACTTTCCAGCTTTCCGCCGCCGGGTTTCTAATTTTAATTCATGGACATGCTATTGTTCTGTTTGTGGGTTTTAGATTTTTCCCAAAAACTCTGTTATATGGAAAGTTGGTTCCTTTAGGTTTCTTTGATATTTAATTTTGTTGACAACCTCTTTTATAATTGGTCCGGTTTCTCGAGGCTGAGTACTCGTTTGTCTTAGGTTATTAAGTGCGTTGATGGAATGAGTATTTTTTTTAGGCAGAGAAATTAATATCCTTTTAGAATTGGGTGTTTTGGGATTTTCAAGATTATTGCAGCATGGACACATAGTTGTCAATATATCAATGTATCACCGACGAAGGAAATTTTAAGCAGAAAACAAGAGTTTATGTGTTTTCTGATTATGTTATTGAGCATCAAGCGTATTTATTATAACATTCATGACCAGTGCAGTGAGTTATGCAATGGAAGAACATTGATTTTCTGATTGTTTTGTTTTTCTTCTAATTTGATATTTGTGTTTTTGGGATATATGGTTATATCTTTCTGAGCATGACATATAGATCTTTGTTTGTTGTAGGATATGCGGTTTTATCTTTCAGAGCATGAAAAATTCAGAGATTTTGGGAATGAACAAGCTCTCATCTGGCATGAGACTAACATCCCTTATGCAATCTGGAAACCTGAGAGTACTAGGACCTTGTCCTTAAATTATCAGCCTTCTGAGGTGATTTTATATTTTTCAAATACGAATAGTTATACTATCCTATGAATTAGCACCATATTTAATTTTTAGAACGTTTTTAATCCATATCATTCTTTTAGCTGGGAGTTTCTTTTGTTGAATACTTGAATGCTCCTATTTTAACTTTTGCTTGGTGTTACATTTTATCTCCAGGGATTTCTCTGAGCTGCTGGTTGTTGTGTTACTTTAGGCTGGACTGCTAGTTTCTGGTCCTCCTGCTGTCTGGTTTCTGTTGCTGGTTCTGTCTATGCACTGCTGCTGCTGGTTCCTTCTCTGCTTTGCCAGCTGCTGCTGTTTTTGGCTCTGTTTACTCTGGTTGCTGTTGTGATGTTCTCTGCCTGGTGCTATGTGCCTGCTTTTGGTTGCTGCTGTTGTCCTGCTGGGCTTGAGGGTTGGCGCAGTGTGTTGGCTGGTTCCTTCTTCCTCTGTTCAGTTGCTAGTGTGGAGCGGTCTTAGATATTTTCGTTCCTTGCTTTGATTTTTTTTGGACGAAAATTGTAATATACAGCCTTTTTTAATGCAAATATGTAACTTTATATATATATGTTAATGTTTCTATATCAATTTAAGTGAAAAAAATGAAAAAAAAAAAAAAAAAAAGTTTTTTTTTTTTAATTTTTTAGGGGTATTTTTGGCACCGGTTTTGACCAGGATCGGTGGCAAAAGTTTTAAAAAAAATTTTTTGACACTTTTGGCACCGGTTCAAAGCAAGAACCAGTGCCTAAGTGGGGTTTTTTGCACCGGTTCTTTCTTTGAACCGGGCAATAGTATTGAAAAAAAAAAAAATTTGCGCCATAACCGGTGCCAAATGCTTTAGTTTGCACCGGTTTTGAACCGGTGCCAAATTTTCATGGATTTGGCATCCCTCAAATGCCCAACGGTTCAAAACCGGTGCCAAAGGGGGGGTTTGAACCGGTGCCTTTTTATCTTTTTCATCTAGTGTTAATCGTCCATCATTTAAATAATGACCTTGATTAGGGATAATTTTCGATTGTAATATGCATTGTTCACTTAACAGGTGTTTCTTTATCCAAGACATGGTCTAGATACCCTGTTTTGATTATTCTCATAAATCGAATGGACCCATTATTTAATTCTAAACCACAATTAAATAGTTTGTGGAATTTTATTAGTTGAAACTTCCAACGTTTCATCTTATGATAAATGGTTTTCCCCAAATGTTTCAAGAGTAACGCTCTTCACAAAACATTTATAGAAATTACACCCATATTTAATATGTTTGATTTCTTTCATGCAATTCTAGTGAATGTTGTCGTTCACTTATTGCATAGGTTTAGCTATTATTACTTTGCAAATCTTAGCATCTTCATTATCGAACAATTTCATAATAAGATGATAAAATTTTGAAAGTGTTATGGATCATATATGATTTAGGATTTATTGTCCAAGTGATGGCTCCCTCTCATTTTCATGACTTGAGATCTTTCAACTTGACAACCTACAATCAACGTTCGATAACGAACTTTCCATTGAACACTTTCTTATTATTTCCTTCTAGTCAACAATATTCTCAACATATATTTCAGTAGACATTCTGATGGTGCTTTGCTCGGATTTCATTCCAAACGGCTCACAATGATTTGGGAGACCCTAATCACTTGTGATTATGGAAATTTACCTTAGATTTCCGCACATTATAAATGGATGCGCGTCCATGTTACCATTCTCAAGCCACGACGCATTCTAGCTCGGGCTTATAAACGACTTCCTTATTAAGGATCTAATCCTTGCTAAGGATGTGCTTGCAACATCAATTTTCAAATTACATTTGTTTCCATACGTCAAGAACTCATCCCTTCTACTTATCCAAGTACTTTAAATGTTCTTGATCATAATCTAACGATCCATTAGATTTAAATTGAATTGTAGTTGATACTTCTCATGCTCTAAGCATGTAAGTTGAGTGACGACTCCATATCATAGCACTCATGATTGTTTCATGTGCAGAATTATTCCTAATTTATTCCATTCATGTGACTCTTTAGCTCATCCAGTTTCACCAAGTGTTGCTAAAATGTTTGCTATCTGATATGGTTGAAAGTCACTCCTAGAGTCTTTCTTGTTTGATTTAGTATTAGCCTAGCTTATACTTAATTTAAACATTTACTTAATTTTATACATATGGGTTGAAAGCCTGTCAAAGTCCTTCATGTTTAACACGGTAAATTCCTTTACTCGTTTAAACCTTTCATTAAGTCTATCAAATAGATCTTAATTCCCACTATGTACTAAGTATCGCCTTTTGCTTGGTCCATTGTCGAAAATCCTTTCAAATCTAAGAATTAAGTATTTGATAGTCATTTCACAATAGAGTTCGTAAATTTCATGTTGGACCATACAAGATTGACTCTTGCTCCCACTAAACTTTCTTGTTCATAAGAATATCTATGATTCTCTGTAAGTCAAGCTTTTTATTAACTTTATGAGAATACATGTTCCAATTCCTACATGCAATGCTTCATTTTGAGCTTGCTTTCAAATCTAGCATTATTTAGAATTACAAAACCCTTCGACTATTTCCATAGTCTCTTCCAAAATCCAATTTTAGGAAGGCGGTTTTATTATCTATTTTGCCATATTTCATATGCGCAATTTTGCTAGAACAATTACGAAAAGACTTAAGCGTTCCGATCGGTGAATAGGTTTTTATTAAAATCAACGCCGTGAAATAATTGTATCCTTTTCAACCAATCTAGCTATGTATGCATTATGAATTTCACATTTATCAGTTTTCTCCTTGAAAAACTTATTTGCGATTGATGGGTCTTTCACCCTTCATGCAAATGAATCAAGTTCCAAACATGATTTACAAATATGGAGTCTATATCGGATTTTATGGCCTTTAACAATTATTCGAAATTTGGATTTGTCGTAGCTAATTTACAAGACACTATTCCCTCACCATCCAATGGTAAATAGTATGCTTGTAAGTCTTAGGTTTATTTCTAACTTAATAGAAATTTATAGGATTCAATCCAAGCCTTTGGGGAATTTTATACCTATACGGGGTAATTGCATCAATCACTGAGTTTCAAGGTGCTTTTAAAGCCTTTTGATTATATTGATCTTACTCCACTTCTAAAGTTTTGTGAGTATTGAATTCTCATTTAAGGCACTTGTAAAGTCCTTTGAGTATTCTTGATCAACCATTCTCATGAAGCCCTTCTAAAGTCTTAAGAGATTCTCAGTTTATGTTTGTTGCTAATCTCGATGGTCATCGAGTTCATTTTCCTCCCACTTATCGTTTTGGAAATGTGTCACTTTCTAGAAAGACACCACATAGAGCAATAAATACTATGTTCTCAATTAGGTTGTGGAAGTAATGTCCGTAGTCTCACTTGAATACTTATAAGGAGACATGTATATTGTCTTTGGGTAAAAGTTCGTTCTTAAACAAATAGTTAGCTCCTTCTCGAGCTACCTTAGCCCTTATTTAGCCATTTATCCCCCACTGAGCCAAAGAACTCCCACTAAACCAATGAACTCCCCCTAAGCTAAGAGCCCTAGGCATATACTAGAAAAGACGCTAGAAACTATTTCTATCCATAACTGAATATGTTGTCCTTTCTTAGCTTCGACACTTTTGTTTAGTGTATCACTAGTCATTTGTGCAAATCTTTAAGAAATTTATAGGAAAGGTTGTGATCTGTCATCATTCGAGTCATTTCCAAATGGCATCGAGGTCTCCGTCAAGACATACTATGTTCTTTGTGGAGCTCATTATGAAATTTCAATTTCATAAGTTTGATATGATCACTCTTGGCTCAAGCAAACATCGCTCAATCTAATCTAGACGTTTTGATATCTTGCCAAGTCGATTCTATACTTCACTGAACATTTGAGCTACTCATGGTCCAGTTTGTTCACATTTGTGAATGTAACCACATTCATTCAAATTCTTGTGAGACGATGAAGTAATGGAATCCTCTTTAGCTTTTGGAGTCAATTGTCTATGCCAAGCACAATAGCTCCTTTCTTTGTCGATTTCAACAAGTGAGACTTGCTTGTCTTAGAATGATTCTGAATCGATCAACTATGAAGAGTCTATCTTATAGAGCCTTGAGTATGTTCTTGTCGATGTGACATTGCTAAAGATGTTTGGAACACAAATCATGTCCATGACTTGAACCTTGTGAGTTTTCATCTTACGAAAATGTTTGTTTATAATCTAGCATTCTTGACTCATGGCATTCAAATAAAACCCGCAACTATTGCTATTTTATTGAATGTGAGTATTTGTGTGTGTAACCGGATTGTGTGCTGATATCGAACACAATAGCCATTATTCGTTCTAGCCTTGGCTTAAAAGGACTGTAAACAAAACAAGTGACCTTACAACTGATGTAGCACCACTTACTTCATTTTAAGCTTGTAAGTCAATAACTTAGCTTGATTTCAATGGTTTGAGGTCAGTTTCAAAGTGGAACACTCAAGCAGTATCCAATACTTGTGAAGATAACGAATTGCTAAGTTGACCACAACATGAACTCATGGGTAAAAAAGGAATCTTATTCATTTCCTTTGTTCTTTGTTTCCTATATTTCTTATCATACACCATCTCATAACTTTAAGAATCATTTCTTTAAGTACTTTGACCTTTACACTTTGTTAGGCATAATTAAGCATCCAATGCGTCGTGAAACAAAGTTTCATCTTTTCCTTCAATTCGTACTTGAATTGCTACATCAATGAGTCCTACTCATATGTGTATGAAGCGAAAAGATATGTTAGTTGTCAACTATTGACAATTTGAGTTTTCTAACTCAATATTCCATGTTCATCAAAACTACCCAGTATTTTGAATACATGATATCCAACCGTCCTTTCGGACTTAATTCATAAAAGTCAATTATGAGAGGTTGTATTTTAGAAATGCCTTTCCATTCTTTGAGAACCATTCTCAAAAGATTTCCTTTACCAATTATTGAAAACAATATAATTTTATTTAGAATTCTACAAATATAAGTGCAAAGTATAACCATTTATCGAGTTCATAACATAATAAGTTTGAAATTCATGCAAACTTTCAATCTTATTACGCGTCTTATCCACGCATTAAAAATTGTCCCTTTTAGGCGAGAATAAAACGATTCCAAGATCCCAAAAATCAGAAAGTGATTAAGCATGCTTTGGCTTGTCTTAACACTTAATATTTTAGGGTAAGCAATCCAACTGCTAATAGCTCTAAGCTACTCTTGGTTCGATAAAACATCGCATCTAATGCTTCCTTGACATTTTATCTCCATTGCCACGACATCTAAGGACTCCTTACTGATATCGTTGAGCTTAACCAAGACGACTTGTATACCTAGTATACCTTACGTTCCAAGGGAAGCGGTGATGCCTGGCTTTGGCGTAGCCCATCACCACGCGCATTAGTTCAGTAAGTGTCGTTCTTGGAATGGCAAATTTGACTCACTACTATAGGGACCTAGGGTTTCTATGTTGGTTGATTTAAGTGAACTTAATTAATCATTGCAACATTTGAAATCCTAAACATGCATCTATCATACAATTCA